AGGAAGGAAGGAAGGAAGGAAGGAAGGAAGGAAGGAAGGAAGGAAGGAAGGAAGGAAGGAAGGAAGGAAGGAAGGACAAAACAAAGATGAAAAGAAGAAGAAAGGGAGGGAGAGAGAGAGGAAGGAAAAAAAAGGTTGAAACATGGTGCAGTTGGTGAACATCATGGAGTTGTCTCTGCTGCCCCAGCTGAAGCTGCTGAAGAACCAGCTGCATCAGGAAGGGTAGTTTCTCTCTTCATCCATTGTGCAGCTCAATGTTGTACAGACTAAATACATGGAGCCCTAGGAGCTTCTGAATGTGCTAAACAAGAGCAACGAGGGGAAAGAATTACTTATCCTGTTGGCCAGTTTCATGTATGTGCCTGGGAAGCTACATGATGTGGAGCATGCTCTCACTGATGTAGGAACTGGCTACTATGTAGAGAAGTCAGCAGATGACACTAAAGACTTCTTCAAGGGGAAGACTGTCTCCCTCACTAAGCAGATGGAAAAAAATCAGCCCACTGTGCAGGAGAAGCATGCCATGAAGCAGGCTATCATGGGGATGATGAGCCAGAAGTTTCAGCAGCTCACAGTGCTGGGGGTGTCCCAGACAGCCACAGCCAAAGCCTGAAGAAAGTTGGGGGGAATTGGGGGAAGCCAAGAGCGCATGTACAGAGCCAATAAAAGTGCCCACTGGGCCCAGCCAGACAAAAAAAGGAGGAAGAAGGAAGGAAGAAAGGAAAGAAATAAAGGAGAGAAAGAGGGAGGAAGGAAAGGAGGAAGGGAGGAAGTTAGAAGGAAAGAAAGGAAGTTAGGAAGGAAGGAAGAAAAGAAGTAGGAGGAAATGAAAGAAGTATAAACAAAGGAAGGAAAGAAAGAAGGAAGAAAGAAAGAAAGAAAAAAGGAGGGAAGGAAAGAAAGAAGGAAGGAAGGAAAGAAGGACAGAAGGAGGGAGGGAAGGAAGGGAATGAAAGTAGTCAGGAGGGAAAGAAGGGAGGAAAGGAGGGAGGCAGGCAAATGTTGAGCACCTCTAATAGTTAATGCCTCCATTGTGCCTGTCTCTGTCCTCCCGGCAGCCTTGAGGTCACATGTGGCCTTCTAGGTCCTTGGATGCAGCTTTTTGACTGAGTCTAAATTTTACAGAACAAATCCTTTTATTAAAATGATTTGTTCTGTGAAGTTTGGATTCATTTAAAGAGCCATACTTGAGGACCTGAAGAGCCACATGTGGCCTTGAACCCATAGGTTCCCCAGCCCTGCCACAGGATCCCTTGGTCAGAATTTTTAGGACAATGTAGGTTAGAGGGGGCCTCTCCTGCCTAACTCTGGGAAACTTGAATGGCCTGCAGGATGGGGAATGGAACTGGGTATTCAGTCACTGCTTCCATTTCTGGAACCATTTTGTGGTCATATCATTTCTGTGTCTTGCCATGATGATTCACTCTCCTTCTTTTCATCTCCAATTTTGATTTTTCCCCTCCAGTTATATAAAAAGCCAGTCTCGCATTACTGGGATAATGGGAAATTTCTCTCAGATTCTCATCGGCAGAAAATATCCAAATGGTATAAGCTCTTTACCCAACTCACAAACAACTACTCAGCTGTGTCCAATTCCTAAAGGGCAGTGAGCAGCCCATGGATCCTTCTCTCTGATCCAGCAGTCACTGAAATGCCTATAGGTCTTCAGATTGGAAGAGAGATGTAGGCTGGATTTTCCTCCCCAATCTGGGGAGGGCTTTTCTCTGGGAGTCATGCAAAACAATGTAGAAATGGTAGTGATCGAGAAGAAGGAACACAAACTTATGGACAATGCTTATCTCTCTTAAATGCCATTCTTATACTCCCAGCTGCCTTCTGGACAGTGTGGTTTAGTGGAAAGAACACTGGCTTTTGCATCTGAGGACAAAATTCAAAACCTGCCTCTGATGCTCACTACCTGGGTGAAATTGGGAAAATCACCAGTTCCCTAGGGCTCAGGTGCCTCATCTGTAAAACGAGGAGTCAGCACTACATGGGTTCTAGGGTGCCTTCCAGTTCTAGGTCTACAGTCCTTTGCCCCTTAGGCATCTCAAACTCAATATTTCCAAAATGGAAGTCATTCTCTTCCTTCCTACTCTGAACTCTCTGGTCCTCTCAACTTTCAGTCAATTAGCAAACATTCATTAAACGCCTACTATGTGCCTGGCATTACACTAAGTATTGGGGAAAGAAAAAAAAAAGGTAAAAGACAGTCCCTGACCCTGAGGAGCTTATGATCTAATGTGAGGGGGTGGAGAAAACATGCAAACTAATATATACAAACAAGCTATATATGTGATAAATTGGAAATAATCAAAAAAGGAAGGCCATATAATTATGAGGGGTTGGGAAAGGCTTCCTATAGAAGGTGTGATTTTAGATAGGACTTGAAGAAAGCCAGGGAAGCCAGGGAAGCTGGGAGGTGAAGTTGAGGAGGGAGAGCATTCCAGGCATGGAAACTTCCCAGACTCTCCTAGAAGTGCTTCCATCATTGAGGTCACCTGAGCTTGGACTGTGTCCTAGGACTCACTCTTGACTCCTCTCTCCTTCAACTCACATTCTCAATTAGTTGCCAAGTCTTAGTAATTGTACTTCATGTAATGAGCATTTATTAAATAATTATTTGCCAGTCACTACAGTAGGTGCTGGGATACAAAGGGAAAAAAAAGAAATAGTTCCTGACCTCAAGATGCTTGCATTCTATTAGAGATAATTTAAATGTTGTTCATTCATGTTTAATTCTTTGTGACACCATTCGGGGTTTTCTTGGCAACGATACTGGAGTAGTTTGTCATTTCCTTATCCAGTTCATTTTACACATGAGGAAACTGAGGCAAACAGGGCTAAGTGACTTGATTAGGGTCACATGGCTAAGTAAGGGTCTGAGGGTGGATTTGAACTAAGGTCTTCCTGACTCCAGGCCTGGCTCTCTATCCACTGTGCCACCTAGCTACAAAATAAACATTAGGTGATTTCTTGGGGTGGAGTTTTACTAATAATTGGAAGGATCATGATAGTCCTTGTGTAGGAGAGGACACACATTGTATTTCCATTAAGACTCTTGCCTCTGCCTACTTCTCTCCCACTATACAGACACCACCCAATTCAGTATTGTATCACCTCTTTCCTGGGCAAACAAATTGCCTCCTACTTCCTACCTCTTCTTTCTCTGATCCACCCTCTACTTAACTGCCAATGTAATCTTCCTAATGCATAGATCTGAGCCCATCGCTCCCCCTCGCTCCCCTTCTCTTCCCATTGCTCCCCTTCTCAAAAGTTTTCAGTGGCTTCCTAAAGCCCCTAGGCAAAAATACTCCATGCACAGCTTGTCATTTAAAGCCCCATCTGGCCCCACTCTACTTTTCCAAACTTATTTTATAACATTTCCTTCTTACATATATTGTGCTCCTGGTAGACTGGCCTATTTTGCTGATCTTCCCTACTCCATACCATTGTCCACACTCTTCTATATTCCTGGCAGCAACTCTCTCCTCATCCCTCTCTGCTAGAATCCTTAGCTTTCTTCTTCATTCATCTCAGGTGTCACCTCCCAGAGAAAGTCTTTTCTTCTTCTATCATTGCCTTCTCCTTCCTCAAACTATCTCACATTCACTCACCTGTTTACAAGTATCCCCCTAGAAGAAGCTAAGCTCTTTGAGTGGATGAAATGCTTCATTATTGTCTCTGTATCTCCATCACTTCCCACATGACTTAGGAATAATTGTTTGTTGGACAGAATTGTCAAAGATGCCGGACTTTGGAGGCTGAGACTTAACTTGTTAGTTTCCTTGGAGTCAAGTTAAGAGACATGAGTGTTAGGAAAGCAAATGACTTGTTATATATATAGCTAAAGGAAACCCTCTGTAGTAGATGGCAGGCTGCTGACATGCATTCAAGGAACATTATGCAGTACCTACTATATGCAGAACATTTCTAGATACAGAGTTTTGATTAGACATGATTTTTGCACTTGTAGAATCCATAGGAAGAAAGAGAATCATAAGTGCACTAGAGAGGTACAAATACAGGGATTTGGTGAGGCTTGAAGTGTAAGGACATTGATAACAGGAAGGATCAGTGAATATTTCAAGGTGAAGGAGTCATTTTGAGTTGGGGTTTTAGTAGAGATTCAATAACCAAAGAAGGGGAGGTCAGATTTTCCACAGATGAGCAAAGATTGTGAAGGTAGGAAAGCAGATGGCATATCTGAGTAAAGGAGAAGAATACAGGTTGGCTGAAACATTCAGGGAATAGAAACGGTTATTAGGAGATGAAGGTAGAAAATAAGGGAGATGTCAGATTTCTGAAGGCCTCGAATTCTAAACAAAGAAATTGGACCTTTATTACCTAGGCAAGTAGTGAGTCGCCAAAAGTATTTGAGCAAAGTGGAATGATCAGGTAACATAGAAGAAATGAGCAATATGGATCTAATATGTAGAGCTTAAATGTTTTAAGTGTGTCATCTAACTTTTGTGGGCCTCAGTTTCCTCATCGGTAAAATTAGGTGGTTGGATTAGATGATCTCCAAGGTCTCTTCTACCTGTAATTAAGTGATTTCTCTCTTTCACCGACTCTGCATATGTATTTATGTATACATACATGTATATGTGTATATATCAATATGTATATGCATGCATATATGTACATATATGCATGTATGTATGTATACACATATAGTATACATACATATATTTATGTCTTCTGATTTATGATATAAAGACAAACACACACATATATACATAAACACATATTGTCTTCTGATTTAGGATTGGAAGCTCTTGAGGGCAGGGACTGTCTTTCTTTAGATCTCCAATACTTAGCACATTGCCTAGGACAAAGTAAACACCTAATAATTACTTTTTGACTCATTGACCATGGTCAATTCCAATCTGTACTATTAGAAGTTATAATTATATAAAATACGGTCAGTCGTTCCAATCCAATGGAAATATGTAGCCCAAATAATACAATCACTTCATGAGATTGTTATCCATACCAATGAGGAGCTAGCTCTATTAGGATCCTGTCGAGATGTGAACTTATGTAAGCTCAAGATCCTAGTCACTTCCTGGAGCTATAGCTTTGTGCTATGTATGCATCTTGTCTCCTGTTGCATCAAAGCTTCTGGCTTCTATATGAAGTCATTGAGGTCCAATAGAAAGAGCACTGCCCAAGGAGTCAGAGGATGTAGGTTCAAATCCCATCTTTGGTGTTTTTTACTTAACTTTGGGCAAGTCACATAACCACACTGGCCTCAGTTTCCCCATCTGTATAACAAGGTTGTATTAGATAACCGCTGAAGTCCCTTTATTCTAGATCTGTGATCCTAGGATACTCATAGAAAATCTACCCCTTTCACTGATGATACCCAAAGGTGGAGTCTATTTCTGCTGAATGAGGGAAGCTAGGTGGTGCAGTGGATAGAGAGCTGGGCCTGGAGTCAGGAAAAGCTTAGTTCAAATCCAGCCTCAGACACTTACTTAGCCATGTGACCCCAGACAAGTCACTTAGCCTTGTTTTCTTTTTTTCTTCATCCGTAAAATGAGCTGGAGAAGGAAATGGCAAACCATTGCAGTATCTTTGCCAAGAAAACCCCAAATAAGGTCACAAAGA